CCCGAGACTCCCGGGGCAGCGGAGGAGGCGGCGGCAGCGGCGGCGACGCTGACAGACTGCCGGGCGGGCGGACAGGCGGGCGGGAGGGCGACGAGAACAGACCCCCAGCAGTTGTGTAACAGCCTAAGTTCGCATTTCCCCTCACTGCGCCTGCGCGGCCGCTTTTAAATGGGACGTCGGCGACGTCAGAGCTCGTGGAAAGGGGCTGAAGGCTGCGGCGGGTCTCTTCGAGGTCCGGGGGCAGAGCCGGTTTTGCTTTGCGGGTTCCGCCCCCTTCATTTGCATATGTTCGACCACGCCCACCCTCTCTGCCTAGCTGCGGGCTCGCATTCTCCGAAGCGGTACACTGGCTCTGGGCAGTGCGCAGGCGCAGCGCGGGCACCGCCTTTGGACCCGGGACACCGGCGCGGCCACGTGGTAGGCCTTTAAAGGCCGCGGCGGGACCCAGCTGGACCAGGCAGGGACCGAGTCTCCAGCTTCCGCATCTCTGGAGCCCGAGAAGCTCGATCTGTGCATACCTTGGCTGCGGGGATTTTAGTTCACCACCGTCCCTAAGGCGTATTGCTGGAGTCTCCTCCCAGCCATTGTCCAGACCTCAGACTTCTGGATTACTTCACACCCATTTTTTTTTTAATTATTTTAACTTTTTCAGTCAAGTTTAGCTCCAGTTTACAGACTCATACATACATTCCTGTCACAAGGGCCAGCTGCATTCATTCATTCTACAAATACACATTGAGCATCTACTGTGAGCCAAGAATTATGCTGATGTCAGAGGGTTGATGTTCCATACCAAAGGGAATTGGACCTTTGGGTAAATGGGTCCCGGTTCTATCCAGGGTTGTACCCCGAGCATGTTATTGGGAGAGAGGTAAAGGGAGAACTATCATTTAGGGAGCACCATACTGTAAGGCTTGCCCTGAATCCTCACGGTCCTAGGTGTGGACGGCCTACTCCTACCTATAAAGCTGTCTTAGGGATAAGTGACTTTGAATCACAAGTAACATCAACACTTAGATGCCTCACAAGCGCATTCCAGGCTGAACTCATCACCCTGGCTCAATCTCCAGTACTGCAAAATATAAATTCGAAAAATATTCATAAACGCATTGAGTGATAAATACTTGGGGTTAATTCTTGTGAATGCTTCAAAACTCAACCCAGCCGGGCGGCAGTGGCGCACGCCTTTAATCCCAGCACTCAGGAGGCAGAGTCAGACAGATCTCTGTGAGTTCGAGGCCAGCCTGGTCTACAGAGTAAGATCCAGGACAGGCACCAAAACTACAACAGAGCAAACCCTGTCTCAGGGAAAAAAAACAAAAAACTCAACCCAGCTGTGCGGTGATGGCACACAACTTTTATCCCAGCACTTAGGAGGCAGAGGCAGAGGCAGGCAGATCTGTGAATTCGAGGCCAGCCTGGGCTACAGAGTGAGTTCCAGGAAAAGGCTACACAGAGAAACTCTTGTCTCAAAAAATAAAAAAATAAAAAAAACTCAATCCAAATATTACCTAGAAGTGACACACACACACATGTGCGCGTGTTTTCCACCTGCAGATCACTTATGCCTCTCATAAAGTATCTCTCCTTTATAACACGTCACGATCATTAAATTACTTATATGGGAGTTAGCAACTTTTTGTCTGTCTTCTCTATATGATGCAAGGCAGTGAGGGTGAGGACTTGCCAATCTTGTTTAGCACTTAGTCCCCAGGACTCAGCAACAGGTCCTCTGACAGAAGGGGTCCTAGTCAATAAGTGAATGCAAGCAGAGTAATGCAGTGCCTAACAGCCCACACTTGGAAGTTAACCCAGCTTAATTTTGAATTCTGCTTTCCTATTAGCTGTGTGACCTTGAACAAATTGTGTAACCTCTCTGAATTCCAGTTTCTTCATCTGGACAATAGTGATAATTGTGTTTAATAGACTATCCCAAACAAAAAGACCTTGTTTGAGGGCATGTAGATAATATGTACCATCCATTTTTATTGAAACTCAGGTCTGCCTGATGCCAATGCTCTTTCTCTGTAACCATTATGCCAGAGCCAATTTTGCCTGGCTTAGTGTCTGTCCTCATAGCCTACCCAAGTCAGAAGCGATCCCAGACCAGCAGGGGAGGCATCTGGCTACCACGAGTATACTGCAGTTATGCTGAGATCATTCAACCTTCAAGAAAAACGGTGCCATCTTCCTATGCTTTGGCTTCCAGCCCCTGGTGACTTGGGATAATCTTCATTTTCTTTTTAGGTCCCTCCCAGGAAGACCAGATAGGCTTGGAGACAGAATGCAAGCCCCAGAACAATGTATCAAGAGTAGTACACTAGGCACAGTCATGGCTAGCCATTATCCGGTCACAAACTAAATGTCTCTGCTTCTATGTTTGGCAAGCAATGTCCACATGGCCACTCTCTGTCTTCCTCAACCAATGATCCTACACATGGTCATAATGCTTGAGAGGACTTTTGGTGCTACACAGACCAACATTTACATTTTAACTGATGTGTATCTATTTTAATATGTATGAAGAAAAAAAACTACCACATGAAATGCATGGTAATAACTATTTGGGTTAAAGATTTTTAAAAAAATGTTGGGTGATTAATTTTAAATAAAAATATCCAGCTGGGTGTGGTGGCCCACACCTTTAATTAACTCACTACTCAGCAGGTAGAGACAAGGGGATCTTTGTGAGTTTGAGGCCAGCCTAGCATAGTGAGTTTCAGGCCAACGAGGACTACATAATGACACTGTCTTAAAAATCCAGAAATGGTACAGAGAGGGGATATAAGACATACTCCAGGAAGGTCAAAGGCAAATAAATATATATGAGGTTTGGGAAATACTGCTTTGACTCAAGACTGTTCACTGATGGACCATCTCAGCCTCTGTAAAAATAACTAGCAGATGAAAAATGATGATGTAGGTCTGTCTCCAAAGCGTGACTTGTGAACGGTGGATGATTTATAATAGATGGTACAGCAAAAGGAACACACCAACACTTAAATGCATACATCATTATGATTTAACATTAAACAGATCTTTTCTCAGAGTTCTGCTTGAATATGCCGGCAATATGTCCACGCCTATATGATTCTTTTAAAGATGGCAGAGGTGGCCGGCAGCAGTGGCGCACGCCTTTAATCCCAGCACTCGGGAGGCAGAGCCAGGCAGATCTCTGTGAGTTCAAGGCCAGCCTGGTCTACAAAGCGAGCTCCAGGACGGGCACCAAAACTACACAGAGAAACCCTGTCCCGAAAAACCAAACACAAACAAAGATGGCAGAGGCATGTAGAGTTTCCAAAATGACTTTCTTTTCAATTTATTTATTTTTCATGTGCATTAGTATTTTGCCTGTGTGTAAGTCTGTGTGAGGGGTGCCAGATCCCCTGGAACTGTAGTTATAGATCTTTGTGATCTGCCATATGAGTGGTGGGAATTGAACCTGTGTCCTCTGGAAGAGCAGCCAATGCCCTTAACTACTGAGCCATCTCTCCAGCCCCTGACTAGTGAGACAGGACATCTCTTTTTTTGTTTGTTTTGTTTTTGAGACAGTCTGTAGACCAGGCTGGCCTCAAACTCAGAGATTTGCCTGCCTCTGCCTTCTGAGTATTGGGATTAAAGGTGTGTGTCACCACTGCCCCTCTAAAATATCTTTAAACCTAGAACCACACCCCCTTCACCTGCTGCTTGAGATTAGGCCTCCTTTGGAATGAACTCAGGACACCAGATCTGGGAGGCTGCTCAAGATTCAGACCATGTCTGTTTGCTTCTTGGATTGGTTTTATTAAACCTGATCCAACTTTTGTCTTCCAGATTTAAACACTCGTGACGAAGCCTGAACAAGTTCTGCTTTCCAAGGACTTTCCCCCAGATGCACAAGGTTCTGTAGGGACCATATAGACAGCCACAAATGTGCTGTGGTTCCTCTTTGATGGTTGTCATGCATGGCCTAAACTGAGCCACTCAGCTTAAATTCCTTGAGGCTTTAGACTTGACAAAAAAAGTAGTGTGGTCTCTCTTCTTACTAGTAGGTCTATAGTGTGTAAGTTAAGGAACAGCACTTTTTGTTAAGGCCAGAGGAAGCTGGGAGAGGTTGAGGGGAGTGCTAAGAGGCAGAGAGAAGACCCTGATGAAGTTCAGGGATGTGGATTCTGCTTCATTATGACGTGTAATGCCTTTGTGGTATCCTTAAATACATTGCTCCTTTTGTTTCAGTAAGCTATGGTGGATCATATGACTAATATTTAACCCCAGTCTATGCTCAAATCAGGAAACTTTCAAGGCCTCAGCTGTGCTTTTGACCCCCACCTAGGATCTTCATGTTACAGGACCCAGATACCCTTCCTGACTTTTTTTTTGGTTTTAGAGACAGGGTTTCTCTGTGTAGCGTATAGCTTTGCACCTTTCCTGGAGCTTACACTGTAGCCCAGGGTGGCCTGGAATTCACAGAGATCCTCCTGGCTCTGCCTCCCAAGTGCTGGGATTAAAGGCGTGCGCCGCCACCGCCACCACCATCCAGCTCTCCTCCTGACATCTTAAAAATGTATTTGTTGTTTTTAACTTTGTTTGTTTGTTTTGTTTTTAACTTTTTGAGATAGGGTCTCATGTAGCCCAGGTTGGTCTTGAACTCACAGTTATAGCTGAGGCTAGCTTTGAACTCCTGATCCACTGCCCTGACTCTCCCAAGTGCTGGATTTAATACTGACATGCACCACCACACTCAGCCTTCCTGACATTCTTGGTATCAAGGTGCTTGGCTTCACTGGTTCTCTGAAACAGTGTTTTCTAACAGTTCCCCCTTGTCATAATGCCTTGCCTAGAGATCTACTGCCCTATTAAGATTTGGACACTGTGGGAGGCCAGCTTCTACCTTTTCAAGGGTTCCTATGAGGAGAAGAGAGGGATAAGAAAATATTAGATAGAAAGTTAGTGAAGAGGAGAAAGACAGAAACAGGATATCTTTGGGAGGACCTGGGTCAATACCCAAAGGCCATTTCTGCCTCTTCAAAGGGGCTTTTTAAAACAATGCCAAGGGGCGGGGCAAAAGACCACCCCCCTGCTAGATCAAAGCACACCGCACAACCAAGTACAGACCCTTCCAAACACCTGGTAACCACGCACGTGGTCAATCCATCCCCTTATGCAGCCCTGCTGGGTAAAGCAAGCTCAGATTCTTGAACCCTGAATAATTTGGGCCTCCACAGGACACACTCAAAATAGAATCTGGTTGGTGATGCATGGAAGACTTGCATGCTGCTGATCCCAGTAGCAACAAGAAATGTCCT